CATATAAGGGGATTTGAAATCTCATGGCAGAACGCCCTCCAGCTCGCATCAAAACCTGGATCACTCGCTCTACCCCTGTATCGAAACTGTATGGTTCTTGGGTGCAGTGCAGATAAGAGAAGTGCTTCACATGAAACAGAAACCTTAAAAAGGGGTGAGTGGAAAACTGTTTAAAGAGATGGTAGGATTGACTTGAAAAATTACATTTGTGTCTTAAAAAAAGACATCTCTAGAAGGGCTTGTGATCAGTAACACTGGAAAAGTGACTGATTTTGCAGAAATTAGAAAAAAATATAACTATTTCTATAACCTCTGCTCATTTACTTTCTGCAGTTGACGGCACTTGATGTATAGCTGGTTTCACCCTTCATCATTTCTTTCTGCTGGAGAGGTTCTTATAAAGATCACTAGGGGTGTAGGTAAACACTTATGCAGCACATTTTAAAAGGCATTTTAACAGAAAATCATGACATGCTTTTCAAAGTGGGACCTATCATAAGTGGGAATTTTTTTCAATTAGTTTAAAAAATTGGCAGGGTTTATTTCTGTATTAGTTTCAAGCTTTCTCTGTAACCCTCTTTCTCTGCTCTGCCTTTGCAAGTGCAAATGTTATTGGGAGTCATTTGAAGTGAACATAAAATTTATTTAAGATTGAAAAAAAACCAATAAAATCAGAGCTCAGGACCCCCAGTTAAAACTGGAGTCTGTAGTTTGATTTTTAAATAGCCAAGAAAAATATTTTGAGCAAGGTAGGAAGTGAAGGTGCCAGCAGGGTCACTGATAGCTGCAGGTGACTGGTCTCCCACTTTCCAGACTTAGGCTTTCAGGACATGGCTTAACTATGAAGCCTTGCTTCAATTCCAAGAATGTCCATGCTTTATGTTCACCTGCTGTCCTATCGATGCATTCTCGAAGCAGAGTCTCAGTAAACAAGAGTAGGCAGCCAGATTGATTTTTTTTTAATGCCCTTATCTGTCATTTTTAAGTCTCTGCTTCATCATCTTCATGCAAATGCAGCCTGTGTGATTGATTTGATACAGCACATGAAAAGGGACCAAACTTTTACTCTTCTCCTTTGAGCTATAGATCAGAGCTGCCAAAGGTGGAGAATTGTGTGAAAATATTGCACCCTGTAGAAGATCTGGGAGCAAGAGAAAATATAAACTGAATACATGCAACAGGGTTCATCTCAACCTGGATTTCAGGATTTTAGAGCCCATCCTGTGGCAGGAGTGGTAGGAATCCCCTATTCTTGCTGGTGGGCTGTTCTCAGTGACTTCACGGGAGCTGTCTGTGAGCATCAGCCCGCCAGGAATGAGAGGAAAGAGATCCATGCGTTAGCCCTTAAACATGATCCAGACTTAACCTCGAGCCTTTTGTTATCAAAAACTGAGAGAGATTTGGGGGTAGAAAGGAATTGGAGTCCTGTCTTGTACTGAAGGGCATGTGGAGAATGGAGATCCTACTTGCAATAACTGCCCTTGTACTCCAGATGTTTAGAAGCTGAAATATAGAGAGATAAAACTGTCTTCAGAGGCTGGTACTTATGTGGCCTTCATCACTATAGAAGCTAAGTGTTTATCATGGGATATGAGCTAACGAGATATTCTTCACTATTGATCCCCTGGCTCCAGCAGAAAGTTCAGTGCTCAGATCTCACAGTACCTTAATTTCATACTTTATAACAGCATCCAGATGCTTAACAGTCTGTCAGTGGAAGATGAAGGAATCCCTGACTGCAAACTCCTGCATCAGTGAAATGTGGGAGGTGGTGGTTAGCATTAAACACAACATCTGTGGTCTCAGCCAAAGCAAGCAAGGAAGCAAGCAACTCCTCCGAAATCTGGTTACAGTTTGATTTTTCTGGCAACAAGCAGGAGCTCGACAGCAGTTGCTATCCAGCAATAATCCTTAGTGCATACATACAGCGATTCTCCTGTTCAGCATAGTTTGCAGCTCCAATCTTCACAGCAACCCTATGATATAGGCAAATATCTAAATGTAGAACTCGATGCACAGGCAGGGGCAGCGAGCCGTAAGGTAAAGGAGATATAATGGACCTGGACTTCTCTGGTGGACATATGGAGGGCTGTCCTCACTGCAGCTGTGCTCAAAAACTATTAACAGAGATTGTGGGCAGACCTGGCCTGCTCCAGCGGTAAACTGATAAGGGACTTATCAAATGAACAGCTACTCAGTGGAATAGCTCCAAATGAGTATGTGCTGGACATTGAGATAATGGAATTAGCTTTCTTCATGACTCCTTTTCCCTGAGGCTCATAGCTTTGTTGACTCTTGGCAGTGTCATGGAAAATATTTTTTCAATAAATAAAAAGAAAAACCCTGGCCACATCTTTCTCTGAAACTTGTTAATTCTCCCCATTTGTTTCCCCCCAAGTCTCAGATATTGCCTGAAGTCAGGGAGTTTTTAAGAATCTACATTCTTAAGTGTGCTAAGGGGACAGGCGGAGCTGTTTGTTGTGGTGATACAAACAATAAATTAGTTGAGTCTGGCAGTGAGTGAACTGCCCATAGAAGAGCTAATGGGTATTTGGACTTTAAGTAACAGGTCTGTCTGTTCAATTTCTTCCTTGAATGTAATATAACAGGGAGAGATTTTTAGGGTATTGTTAATAGGACCAATGAAGGAGGGTTTAGTAAACACTTTTAGCTCAGTGGTTCTCAACCTTTTTGACTCAAGGCACCCCGTGGAAAATGCCAGCTCTTCACTTTTCCTCATTTCTTGATTATGGAAAAATAACATGGCAATTTATCTGTTGCAAAGAACTGAGCAAGACTACAGCAGGTCAGAATGCTTTTGACACTATGGATTCCTATTTTAAATCTCTGTGTAGGTGTTTGCATGCCTAACAGTGCTTATATTGTGTGGATCTCAAAGCATCCCACTGTGCCACTGCACCCTGGTTGAGAATCACTGGTCTAGCTACTCAGGCAGGATAGACATGTTCAGTAAAGTAACTGTATACTGTGATCATGACCTCCACGATAGAAATCAAAGATGTGACAGTGACCTCAGTGATACTGCCATGTCCAGCTCACCAGCTAAATACGAAAAGGACTTATTGCGGGGCTCACGCTCCTGAGCTATGCCTGCTTTATACAGAGCTAGAGGCATTTGGGCAACTGCTCTGCCAAGGCAAGCATCTTTTTCCAGACAAACACAAACAGTCATTTGCCATACCCATGTCTTGGCTTGTGTGGGAGAGCTCCTGGCTGCCAGTCCCCTCAGCTGCCTATTAGTAAATCAGTGTTATTCTGTGGTCAGGGCTGAATGCTGGAGAGTTTGCATCTTTGGTGAGATCCCCCAGACATTAAAAAGAGGAAAGCTATTGAATAATATGTTGCCAAGTGGGAAGCTGCGTGCTGTGTAGGAGGAGCACTCTTTCATTTCCACTTTCAGCCGGAGGCTTCCTCATACTGATTTGTGTACTTCAGACCGGCTCTATAGAGAACGTTTCTCCAGCACCCAGAGGAAGTTGGGCCGGCTGAATGCTGGGGCCTTTCCCAGCTGCAGTTAACCAGTGCTCTGAACTTTGCCCACAAAGAACCACCTGAGCTGGGAAGGGAATGCAGCCTCTGCGATTACTACATCCCGGGAACTTGGGCTAGGAAACAACTCGGGACTTCCCCAAATGAAGTCACATGGCTTTGAGAGATGATCGCTGCAGTCTCCTGAGATAAGGTTTCCAGTTTCTTCAAATCAGAGGCAGTGGTGATGCATAGGGGTGCATGTGCATCCCCTGAGAGCGCTGGTGCACCCCCTGACAGCCAGTGTTCCCCGCTTAGGCGACGGGGGGCAGGGCAGGGCAGGGCAGGTGAGGGCACCGGCCGGGGGTGGGGAAAGAGACTGTAGTAGAGACCGAGGAAGGACGGCAAGGCTAGTAAAGCCTTGTTCCCAGGCAACTAAGATAGGTATCAATACTGATACAATGAATGCAGTGGTTCTTGCTTCCTGAAAAGACCCATACCAGTGCCAGTATCTCTGCCTACTGGCTTTCTGGATTGGGAGGGGTTTAGTTTGGTGTGGCTTGGTTTTTATATTTGCGGGGCCATCGGATCAGACCCGGCCTACCTGCCTTCCCGGATCTTCCATATTAACGAGACCACCCCTTTGTGGGGCCAAAGGGTGACAGATACTAACTCATTTCTTGGGCCAACAAACGCAACACCAGGATCGGAGTGACGTGGGGGTCAAGATGTGACCGTATCCCCGTCCTCCAGCTGTTCCCGGGAGAGCCGGCATCCAACCAAGGCTCAAGCGGCGCCGGCTCCCCGAGCGCGCCTGCCCTCCGCCCTGTGCCTGCTCCCCGCTCCGGGACGGGCGCAGCTCTGGCAACGAGCCGAGGGGCCGGGACCGCACCCCCGGGCTCGCCCGGAGCCTCCCCGCAGCCGAGGGGCGGCCCCGCGCCCCCCCCGCTTCC